TATTGTGTTGCACTTTGCATGTTTTGACTTCCCGAATAAACTAGGTTATTCTTCCGGAATGACTAAGTTATTCAAACCATCCACAGTCGGTCATATGTTGGAAGTAGATATGAATTAAGACTGTCATGGGTTGGCTTGTAGAGGTCTAAGGTGTTGGACAAATGGCTACAACACTCATGAGTGCTCATAAGTTCTGAGTATTGGATTCAACCCGCGCTCATTGGAATCACTTCATGGATTTTATCACAAGTGATCATGAGACGATAATATCTTATATTCTTCAAACCTAGAGATATGAGTTGTTACTATGAGTTGGTTGTACATTGATTGCACGAAACTGCATTTGGTAACTCGGTGCTATAAAACGTGTCTTTGTGTATGATTCAACAAGTAGTAGAACAAGCCATATGAGTCGAAGTTTATCCATTCCTTTTACCTTCGGGATAAAAGCGATATCTGTGGGCCCCTCGATGATTTGATGATGACAAATGGAAGTGCTCGGCCGGGCCAACTGATTTGATTTGTTCAATTAGTCAGTCGTCATAAATCGGAAATCGGGAAACAACTAATGGACAGAGAGAATGATTATAATCCATGTCTCAGTCCATATGATATCTAGAATGGAGGAATATATGATCCCTTATCTAATGGACAAGTCATTGACAAGATCAGAGTTCATCTACAAGGTCAGAGTTCGACAGAAGCTTTTGAGAGCTACGATTGCCAGTTGGTTCCTGAAGTCATACGCAATAATAGTTTTAGACTTATCCAAGTGGGAGACTGTTGGATTAATGTCTAAGTCCATAACTATAATTGGTAAGACTTGACCCGACCCGGCATGGTCCATTTGGGTTGCATACCATCATGCACTTGGATAGACTAAATGAGAGAAATAAACACTTATGGTTATTAATATATTATAAGTTCTAGTATATTAATAATAAGAATAATGAGATTATTTAATTAGTATTGATCAAGAATTAATCTAGGATTAATTAAGTGATCAAAAGAAGACTAATTAAATATATGGGTTGATTGTGTAAATCATCCATACTTGTATAGTGGGCTAATGCTCCATGGATTATCTAGTTGGGCCAAAACCCATATGATGCTCCATGGATGCTCCATGGTGTATTTGAACCCATGGATCCAAGGAAATGGAAAGTCATGACAATTAGGGTTTACCCTAATTGTATAACTATATAAGCATCTTATTCTTGAGGAAAATCGGTCACTAGAGAGACTAGTATTATTCTTGAAGAGGGCTAGCCGATTTCATGAAGTGTAGAATTCTCTCTAAGTTATTCTAAGTGTTTTGATGATTGTGAACCATTTGAGGTGTCACACTTGGGGCACTAGGCACTCAAGCTTCATGAAGACAAGCACCATCAAAGAGGTATGTATTCTATCTTGTTATATTGATAGTATTGTATGCTAGTTTAGGATAATACCTTGGATGTTCATATTTGCATGTATAATAGAGAAAACATAGATCCAAGGTATTTAGGGTTGCATGTACACTTAGGAGTGTTAGAATGCTCATAACCCAACAGTTATATGTTATGATTATGTTATGCTATGATCAGTCAGTTTCGGACTCCGGTCCGATGCAGAGGGCGAGGCCCTAGTCAGTTCCGGACTTCGGTCCGATGCAGAGGGCAAGGCCCTAGTCAGTTCCAGACTTCGATCCGATGCAGAAGGCAAGGACCTAGTCAGTTCCGGACTTCGGTCCGATGCAGAGGAAAAGGCCCTATTCAGTTCCGGACTTCGGTCCGATGCAGTGGGCAAGGCCCTAGTCAGTTTCGTACTTCGGTCCGATGTAGTGGGCAAGGCCCTAGTCAATTCCGGACTTCGGTCCGATGCAGTGGGCAAGGCCCAGTATGTGATTTATATGTTATTGTATGGTATGTGGTAGTTTAGGGGAGCTCACTAAGCTTCGTGCTTAAAGTTTCAATTTTGGTTTCAGGTACTCAGTTTTCAAAAGGGGAGCTCGGGAAGATTGCAGTGCACACACCATTTGTTTAGTCTGGGATGTTTATACTCTGATATACTTGACAGTTGTTATAATAATTTTGAGATACATTGCTTATGATTTTTATATGAGGTTTATCGACTATGGTTTTTATTATTAAATTAAACGAAATTTTCAGACTGTATTTTTGAGATGTTACACATAACCACCTTTTAACTACTTTCTTTCCTATGTAAGAATAGATTGAATGTTCTAAAAAAAGGGTTACATTCTATATACTTGAAATTTGTTCATCAGATTCTCTATATCTCTCAAAACACAAAATAACAGGATATTTTATGTGTTTCGAATTTAGAAGTGATCTGACTTCTAAATTGTTTCTTTTGGATCATCCCAAACTCAATTTCGTGACCCCATGCATAATGGTCGAAATCATAAATTTTGAAAACTGATTGCAACCACGATCCTAGAAATTATCCAAGTATATTGATATTCTAAAGATATAAAATCTAACAGTGTCGGTCTTTGTGTTCAATTTGGGAAAGATACTTTTTGTACTTAAGCAAACAAGAAATTTAGTCCCTCAATTTTTACTAACATGTGTATGTAGTTCATTTAGAAGATTTTTTTATATTCTTCAGAGTAAAAGGATGACGTTAACTCTTGATTGTTAAACAATATCACAAACCTTCCATATGAAAGCAATTTTCATCACTTTATTTGTTCATCTTTAACCTCTACATAGTTCATGTTTTTTTATAATTCTATTTGATTGTTAAACCATATCACAAACTTCCATATGAAAGCAATTTTCATCACTTTATTTGTTCATCTTTAACCTCTACAGAGTTCATGTCTTTTTATAATTCTAAAACCAATTCAGAAACTTAATAAGACATTCATAGCCCAATCTATAAAAATTAATTCATGTTTTAACCAAAATCCTAAGACCTATATAATATTGTTAGTATAATATATGTTTATGTATGTATATTCTTAGTCCAAGGCCTATGTTTTCATTGTAATCCTATATATTGCACATTAATGATCATATATTTTGCATGAAAAAATAATTGTTATCATAGTATCAGATAGACTTGACAATTCATGTATCCATGTCGTGTATATGTGTCAAACACGGATTTATACAACACAAAATGTAAAATGTGTGTAGATATAAAGCACGAACATGACACGTTGTAACGCGTGACACGTAACACGACAGGAATACGATCCGTTTTAACTGTGGTATATGAAAACACAAATTTACATATTCTTGGTCAAAGGCCTCTATTTGCATTGTTCTCGTATATATTGTACTTTAATTATAATATATTTTTCATGATAAAATAATTGTTATTATGGTATCAGACACACCTGACAATTCATTTATCTATGTCGTATATCTATTTCAAACACGAATTTACACGACACAAAATGTAAAATGTGTCTAGATATGAAACATGAACACGACATGTTGTGATTTGTGACACGACACAAATAGTATCCATTTTTAACCCTGGTATACGAAAACACGTATTTACATGAATTTAAACACAAATTTAGAAACGAAAACACAAATTCTATATTTTAGAAAGTAGCATGCTATATATATATATATATATATATATATATATATATATATATATATATATATATATATATATATATAAAACCCATTTATATTTAAAAATATAATATAATATAATTTTTATTTTAGTAAAAACTACTAGAAATATTAAAAATAAATATTTTATTTTGAAACAAATAAATTATTTATTTTAAGAATAAAATTAAATCAAAATAGATAAAAAAAATTATTTTACATTCATCAAACATGCCTAATAAAATAAATAAAATAAGTTACAAATACGGATGATGCAAACTTCTTAATTATTTTTTAATGCTGAATTTTTTTTTCTGTATATGCTTAATCAAATCGTCTTTTAGAGCATTATGAGTTTCTCTATTGCAAGCTTGTGCCATGTTGGTCATATAACTAGATAGATTTGTAATTTGTTGAGTAGAGTATTCAAAATATTATTCGTCTTCTGTAGCTATAAATTATGATGGATCATAATAATGAATGTATGCATGTTGTTCATCCTTGATGATCATATTATGAATGATGATGCAATCATAATTTTCCTCATCATAACTTTGTCCCACATAAGATAAGGGCGATGAAGAAATGAAAAGCGAGCTTGTAAAACTCCAAATGTTAATTCAACATCTTTCTTAGCAACCTCTTGATGTTCAACGAATAACTTGTGTTTTCGAAGTTGTCGAGAACTAATTGAATTGACAAAGGAAGTCGCTACTTTCAGTAAATTGTTTATAACGATCTTTCATTTGAGCTATGTTCTTGTTACCAAGCTTTCATGGGTTTTCCGCCTAATTTGCATCATATAGCTCCTTCACTCGTGCCCATATTGACGTTTTCTTTTGGTTTTTTCCACAACGATCATCTTCACTAACGATACAATATGCTGACATTAAAACAATATCTTCGTCAACGTCCTATTTATCGCCTCTTGGGTTTTTTTTTCGATATTTTGTGAGGTTTGAATATTTTCAGTTATAAGGAATTTGATTGGGATTGGCGAAAAACTATGAGGTTTTATAGTTTTGAAAGTTTTGATAATATTGAGAATCTTCGAGATTTAAAATGAAATTTAGATCCATATTATCAAAGAAATCAAAAGAGTTTAAAAATAAAAAGTTAATATGAGATATGAAGTATACTCTATTTATAGAGAATAATTTTTGAAAATTTAGATTTTTTTTACTAGAATATATATTTATTTGATCAAACTGTGACAAGAAAAGATTTATGTGAGCCTTTGTGAGTTGCGGGTGGCCTAGTTCACAAAAACTAAATTAATATTCTTTTTTTAATGAAAACCAACGAGCCGCTCCCCAAAAGGCCTAAAACCCAACCAATGGGAATAGTCACGTCAATAGATTGTAAAAGGGACTAAATCGTTAAGTAATTTATTGTTTAGATCCTTATCGCAAAAATAAGAAAATTTTGGTCAAATCTGCATATTGACATATAGCGAGGGGCAATTTGGTTATTCCTTCTCTCTTTCTTGCTATGTCGGTCTCTGAGTTCAATCTGGAAGAAACGATTAAAGTAGCGAACTAGCTACGCGCTTGAGTTTTATAACATTGATGCTGCAAGTATCCTATCGTGCTTGCTAAGAACCCTAAGCGACCTGCTGAATCATGGTATGTATCACCCAAATTTCTTTTAGTCCCCCTTACTTTTTTATTGGTAAAATTTCACAGATTGGGCGACAATGGACAAGTAGATGATTTAGTTTGTGGGTTTGGTTGGAATTCGTATTTATTTTTCCGATGTCTTTTGATTCTTTTTGGGGATGTATGACCATTAGCTAGTACTTGGTCACCTTGAGAGTTAGGGATTTGAAAACTTCTAGTTATCAATCCAAATATAATTACGTTAAAAGTATATTTGCTCTCTATTTGCATCTTAGAACATCAGTAGAAATCACGTAGCTCTCTTCCGAATGAAGAGGGTGGTTTGTGAGTTCGTTGTGAAGTTTAGTGGATTGAGAGTTATAACCGTTCGATGAAATGGCTGAATGGGTATTCTTTAATTGTTATCTTGCTTTTAGTCTATGTATTTATATTCCCAAATTCTGTTAACAAACGTAATATAGGGCTGTTAGCTATTACTTTTATAGCTTGAAAGTTGAGGATTTGAAAGTTTCTCATATAATTTCTGGTTATAACTTTAATAACAGCCCAATTAGAATAAGTTTAATATCATGTGTGCTTTCAGTTTTACATATGGGAATATCACTAGAAATGACATAGCTCTTTTCAAAGAGGACAACATTTAAGTTCATTTTGGTGTTTAGTGGGGTTGAGACCTTTAACTGTTTGATGAAATGCCTGAGAGAAGTTTTTTCATTGCAATCTTGTATTTTGATACTTAAATTCCCAGATCTTGAACTCCCTCCTTGATTCTGGAAGCTTTAGACTCCAGATTTTGAATTTGGACACCTTGCTTACATGTTTAGAGCTTCTTTCAGGATATGGACAATGAAGATGACTACGTGGAATACGTCCCTATTACAAAACGAAGGGCAATTGTGGCACAAAAGATTCTCCAACGTAAAGGGCAAGCTTCAACCTTTGAAGATGAAACAGAAAAGGCAAAAGAAGTAGAAATGAAACCAAGTTTGCTTGTAAAAGCTTCCCAACTGAAACGCGATCAACCCGAAGTCACTCCTGCAGAACAAGCAGTCCAACAAGAAAAAGAAATGATGGAAAATCTTTCTGATAGAAAAACTTTAATGTCAGTTCGTGAACTTGCAAAAGGTATCACATACACTGAGCCTCTTCCAACAGGATGGAAACCCCCTTTACCCATAAGAAGAATGTCTCAAAAAGCATGCGATGGGATCAGAAAACAATGGCATATCATTGTTGATGGTGATGAAATCCCTCCACCAATCAAAAACTTCAAAGACATGAGATTCCCAGATCCTGTTTTGAAAAAACTGAAAGAAAAAGGAATAGTACAACCAACACCTATTCAAGTTCAAGGGTTACCCGTGATTCTATCTGGAAGGGACATGATTGGAATAGCATTTACAGGGTCTGGAAAAACATTAGTGTTTGTGTTACCATTGATTATGATGGCATTACAGGAGGAGATTATGATGCCAATTGCAGGAGGGGAAGGACCTTTTGGGTTGATTATTTGTCCTTCTAGAGAGTTAGCTAGACAGACATTTGAAGTTGTGGAAGAGTTTTTATTACCCTTGAGGGAATTTGGATTTCCAGAAATTAGACCCTTGCTTTGTATTGGAGGTGTCGATATGAGATCACAATTGGATATTGTTAAGAGAGGTGTCCATATTGTCGTTGCTACCCCTGGAAGATTGAAAGACCTTCTTGCCAAAAAGAAAATGAATCTTGATAATTGTCGGTAAGCATTTCAAATATTATTTTTTTTATAAACAAATCAATAAAAGTAGATTCCTATTTTCTAAATTAGGGTTTTACACAGGTATCTAACTTTAGACGAGGCAGATAGACTAGTGGACCTCGGATTCGAAGATGACATACGCGAAGTATTCGATCACTTCAAAGCCCAAAGACAGACACTCCTCTTTTCCGCCACCATGCCCGCAAAAATCCAAAACTTTGCCCGAAGTGCCCTGGTCAAACCCGTAACAGTCAACGTGGGCCGTGCGGGGGCCGCCAATCTTGATGTCATCCAAGAAGTCGAATACGTAAAACAAGAAGTCAAACTCGTGTACCTTCTAGAATGTCTCCAAAAAACCCCGCCTCCTGTTCTAGTCTTTTGCGAAAACAAAGCTGACGTGGACGACATCCACGAATACCTTTTACTGAAAGGAGTCGAAGCGGTTGCGATTCATGGAGGGAAAGATCAAGAGGAGAGAGAATACGCGATCTCGTCTTTCAAAGCGAGTAAGAAAGATGTTTTGGTGGCTACGGATGTGGCTTCAAAGGGTTTGGATTTTCCGGATATTCAACATGTGATTAATTACGATATGCCGGCTGAAATTGAGAACTATGTGCATAGGATTGGGAGGACTGGGAGGTGTGGGAAGACTGGGATTGCGACTACTTTTATTAATAAGAATCAAAGTGAGACTACGCTTCTTGATTTGAAACATTTGTTGCAAGAAGCCAAACAGAGGATTCCACCGGTTTTGGCGGAGTTGAATGATCCGATGGAAGATGTTGATGCGATTACGAATGCGAGTGGTGTGAAAGGGTGCGCGTATTGTGGTGGGCTCGGGCATAGGATTGGGGTTTGTCCTAAATTGGAGCATCAGAAGAGTATGCAGATTGCGAGTTCTAGGAGGGATTACTTTGGGTCTGGAGGGTATAGAGGGGAAATATGAGCTTTAACTCACTTGTTCTCCTCTTTAATGTTTGTTTTACTACATACAGAGTGTACTAATTCCCTTGGTTTTATCAGAATTTTTTTTTTTTTTTTTTTTTTTTTTTAATATATGGAGGTGTACTGCTTGCCAATGTTAGATCTCAAATTTAATTTTCGTGACAATTTTGTGTCTTAATCTACTATCTACTTCCACTGGGGGATGGAGTTTTGTGAGGTCTATCCACATCAATGTGTATTATTATTTATTGCAGGTGTAAAACGAGAGGCCCTGAACAAATTCCCTTCTTTGCAAATACACTACAACTTTATGATTGAAATGTCCAAGTCTTTTGTGCTTCGACTCTTGTTGCAGAAAAAGCAGCTTGCACCTCGTGCAATGCTCATTCTTTTTACTGTTACTTTGAATATATAATTGTCATTTGAATCTTTGGCCAACATTCAACTAATTTTGACTGGTTACATGTATAAATAACACATTCTTTTGCTGCCATTCACTTGTGTGACTGTCTTCTGCTATGATGTTTTTGCAAATTCTTTGAAAATGACTCGTTTTTTGACATTTTTCACATTTTGGAAGGTGGATGCATGGCCATTTCTTCCACAATGAGAGAAGTCACATTTTGACAGTATTCGAAAGAATTTCCCTTCTTGTTTATCTCATGTTTCTTTCGTTTTCCTCATTCGATCCACTGATTTTCTTCTTGTACTCGGATCATATTGTTGAATTGCTTGGCTAATAAATGCATGCTTCCTTCAAGAGATTCAAACATGAAAGAATATAAATGAATGTTCACAAACATAATCATCATAATTGAATGAGCGAGACCATTGTTGGTGTTCTTTCATTTAACTAAACAAACATAAAAAAATGTTTTCTAGTGGTCTAATACAATATTCTACTATGCCTGGTCAAGAAATTCCATAATCGGCCTATATCGGCTATAACTTGGCCACAGTAATCGGTGTAAAATTAAACTATTCTCTGAAAAGTATAATCACTTTGAAAATTTCGAAAATACTATTCTCTAAATAAGTTTTATCCTACTGCTTTTTTTAGTAGACGAGTTAGCATTTTTCTTGTGTACAACTGGTGTAGGGTACAGTACACAGTACTTATTGCACGTGTTAGGCACAGTATTTTTTAGAATGTTTTACTTCTTATAAAAAATAAAGAGAAATCACGACCATGTAGTGAAACTAATTTCTTTTTCTCATATTCACCAAGAACAGAAACTACAATGTCATTTTCTATGACTAAAGAAAACAAGGATCACAATCATAACAAAGCATAAAAAAGTAGTAAACAAAACCAACAAACTAACACCATGACACATGTTCTAATTTCTAAACCAAAATCACCTTCCTTTATCACCATCATCACTACCTGTCTGCTAACTTAAACAAACCTAACTAAACAGATCTCAAGAACTATCAACCCCAAATCTTAAACAGCAAACCACCATGAGCAGCAAAAAACGGAGCAAACACAAGCGATTCAACAGCCATAAGTTTAATCAAAATATTAAGCGAAGGCCCAGAAGTATCCTTAAGCGGGTCCCCAATCGTGTCACCAATCACAGCCGCCTTATGTGGGTCCGACCCCTTCGGTCCAAGTGTCCTTGCATGCTCCGATGCCCCAGCCTAGCATAAATAAATAAATAAATAATTCACAAACAGTTTCACCACAATAAATAAATAAATAAACACAAACCAACCTCAATATACTTCTTTGCATTGTCCCAGGCGCCACCTGTATTTGAAGCCGAAATCGCCACCTGGACACCCGAAACCAACGCGCCAGCTAGGACACCCGAAAGCGTCTCCACCCCAAAAAACGTCCCGACAATTAGCGGAGTCAGCATGACAAGAGCACCAGGTGGAATCATCTCCTTGAGAGATGCATCCGTCGAGATCTTGACACATGTCGCGTAATCCGGTTTTGCAAGCCCTTCCATTAAACCAGGAATCGTATTAAACTGCCTACGAACTTCCTCCACCATTTTCAAAGCTGCACTCCCCACACTTTTCATAGTCATGGCTGAAAACCAATACGGAAGCATCGCACCAACAATTAAACCAATAAAAACTTTCGGTGTCAAAACATCGACAGTCTCAATCCCCGCACGGCTCACAAACGCGCCAAATAGCGCGAGGGAGACTAACGCGGCGGATCCGATTGCGAATCCTTTTCCGATGGCGGCGGTGGTGTTTCCGGCGGCATCGAGGGCGTCAGTGCGTTCGCGGATTCTGTGGCTCATTCCGGCCATTTCGGCGATTCCGCCGGCATTGTCACTGATGGGACCGTACGCGTCAATCGCGAGTCCGGTTGCGATGGTGCTGAGCATTCCGAGGGCGGCAACTGCGATTCCGTACATGGCGGCGAAGGTGAAACTGACAAAGATGCTGATGGCGATGGCAAAGATGGGAATGATTACGGATTTGTAGCCCAATGCAAGCCCAAAGATTACGTTTGTTGCAGCTCCGGTTCTACAGGAATCAGCAACATCTTGCACAGGGCTGCAGGAAAGAGATGCATGAGTTCATAAGTGTGTTTGACATACAAAATTATAATTTGTCGATGGGACATGATTATAATTTAACATACATTGGATTAAAACTGATGTGACATGACAATATGACATACATACCTATAAGCATTGCTGGTGTAGTATTCTGTCACAAAACCGATGATAAGTCCAGCCCAAAGGCCGACACATACACACAAGAAAAGTTGCCTGCATCCAAATGACCACAAGAAAGTATACACCAACTATTATATTGTGAAGGACAAAATTGTAAATAAGTGGAAAAACAGGGGACTTTTGCTTACCAGTTATGTACGACCTTCTGTGCACCGAAATTAAAGATTGTGAAGGATGTGGGAAGTGCAATGAAGCTAACAATTGCAATCCCCACAGTCATAAGAACAGTGGAGATGATAAGCTGCTTCTTTAAAGTTGTTTGGATTTCATCGACTTCTCTAATCTCAAAGAAATCAGTTGCGAAAAGAGTGGTTATTAAGCAGACAAGAATTCCAACAGAGCTCACGAGTAATGGATAGCACATTGCTGTGAAATCATGCTCTATTCCAAAAGAAGAAATGGAAGCAACAACAAGTGCAGCACAAGATGATTCGGCATATGACCCAAAAAGATCAGATCCCATTCCAGCAATGTCCCCCACATTGTCCCCAACATTATCAGCAATCACCTAAATCAAGAACAAGAGTAAAAAGTAAAAACACAAACTTCGATGTGAAACTAGATGAAAAGGGGCTTAAGAATGATTTAATGTGGAATTACAGCAGGGTTTCTGGGATCATCTTCTGGAATGTTTCGTTCGACTTTCCCTACAAGGTCAGCACCAACATCAGCAGCTTTAGTATATATACCTCCACCAACTCTTCCAAACAGAGCCATTGAAGAACCACCGAGTCCATAACCAGTTATCGCCTCAAAAAGTCCTTCCCAGTCATCCCCATAGTAGATCTTGAACAGATTAATGGCAATGTATAGAACTAAAAGTCCGTTTGCTGCAAGAAGAAACCCCATCACAGCACCAGATCTAAATGCTGTCTCAAAAGCTTTACCAACGCCTTTTCTGGCTTCTAGGGTTGTTCTTGCGTTAGCATAAGTGGCTATTTTCATCCCAAGGAAACCTGAAATGATGGAGGTGATGGCACCAAGCAAGAAGGCTATTGTACTGAAGAGAGCAGTTGCAATTGCAGGCTTGCACATTCTGGATACATCGTAGGTGCACGGCTGGCTCTTTCTGCTAAACCCCTCAACAGAACCAAGAAAAACGAAGATAAAAAATGCAAACACAACCATGAAAATACCAACGTACTTATACATGGTGACCAAAAAGGAGGTTGCACCTGTTGAATATGAAACAAAACCAAAAACAAGTGCTGAATTAGCAGAGAAAACATCAATTCTGAGATGCAAAACGATGAGATATTATCATTCGAACATATGAACAAGAGGAAGATATCCGAGAGAGATGTTACCTTCGGAGATTGCATTCTGAATCTCAGCACATTTAATAACGACGTTATGATCATTAAGTCCCTCCTCTTCTTCAATTAAGTAGTCATCGTATCCATTTTTGTTGCTGATAGACGGAGGACCATTACGGTCTGGTGTAACTTTTACTCTAGAGACTACCACCCACTGAAACAGCGAGAAAATGATACCAATCACGGCGCATACAGGAATAATTATTTCTGTCGCAAAACTTGACAGTAAGGCCGGACTCATGGTATCGGAAACCTAGTACGTCGCCGGAAAATGGAAGGAATAAAATGAATGAAGAAGGTAAGTAAGAAATGTTTTTGGGAGAATAATGAAGTAAAAGCGGTGAGCTTTTATAGTTGGATGGGTGAGAGGGAAAGGTAAGAAGATAAGATAGAGTGTGCCGAGTGGAGCATTTTATCTGATCGGGTCTTTTAGGGTTCTTCGGTGCAGCCGCACTTTTAATCCAACGGTCCGATTTTGCCGATCGAGTTTCATCCTAGGGCATGAATTTTCCTTTAAAGATTTAAGGATGTGTTTGAATGTTAGGTTTTGAAAACGAAAAAAGGTAACTTAAATATTGGAAGTAACAGAGGAATTAAACAACGGATTCTCTTTAATAGAGAACAATAAATGAAAATGAAAAATGAGGAATAAACGAATCAATTAACACCTACATCCCAACTTTAGTATATATATATGGAAAGAAAATAAAGAAAAGTATAAAGAAAGGAAATCCGAAAATAATTTTATCACATATCATTCAATCATTAATTTGGACACATGTATTTTTTGATAATTTTGAATAAATGTTTTTTTTCCATTTGTTATTTTCTCATTTGTTTTTATCTTTTTTAATTAACACTTCATATTAACACCTCAATTAATAATTTCCTTAACTAGGTGTGAGACTCATATATTATATGGGTTTAATTAAAAAAAATAAATATAAAATTTTAATAATTTGAAAAGTTTGAATTTATAAGAAAATTTTGAATTATTAAAATTAATGAGACTTTAATGTATTGAATACATTACATATAAACTCTTTCTAATCAATATTTTACATA